TGCCGGGGTCGGGGCTGGTGTCCTGGGTCTGTCCCGGTGCAATTCCCGGTGGTGGGGCCGGTTCCCGGTGGGCTCCCGGAGCGGAGCGGCGGGTCCCGGAGGGCTGGGCGGTCCGGTGGGTTCCCGGGTCGGTTCCCGATTAGTTCCCGGAGCGGCGGTCCGCGGCGGGGTCCCGTGTGATCGCGGTGCGTCCAGGAGCGCTCCTGGGCCAGGGGCGACGGCGGCAAGTGGCGGGGCCGGGGGCGGCGGCGGCTTTAAGCGCTGCCCCGGCCCGGCCCGCCCCGTCCCGGGGAGGGACCGAGCCGGAGGGACGGAAAGACCGCCCGGCCGGCCGGGGGTGGGGGGCCAGGCCCTCGCTATTTACAGCCCCGGCCTCACACCGGACCGCAGACAGCGGCACCCCCAAAACCGCCGGGCTTCGGCACTCCCCAAACCTCGGAGCCCCGGCCTCCGGCACCCCTCCAACCTCGCCCTCCGGCACCCCCAAAACCCCGGCGTCCGGCACCTCCCGGAACCCGGGATCCCAGCACACCCCGGAGCCCCCGACTTCGGCACTCCCCGACCAAGGCTCCCCCGAACCCCGGCACCCCCAAACCACGGCAGTTCCAAAACCGCACAGACATCAGCACCCCCACACCTCTGACATCCCTAAAACCTCTGTAACCTCAAACACCGGCACACCCAAACACCGACACTCACAAACACCCCAAAACGCCGGCACCCACAGACTCCCAGACACTGGCACCCCGACACCCCAAAACTCCCCAAATTCCCTGAAGTCCAGTGTCACAAACTCCTAAACTCTGGCACCTCGGAACCCCTGCCCCCAGACATTGGCACCCCCAAACTTTGCACACTGAACCGCTGGCACGACTAAAATTTGGCACCCCCAAACCTAAGCACCCCCAAACCTCGGCCCCGAGGTACCCCAGCCTCCCTACACTGAAACTCTGGTACCCCAAATCCTGACACCCAGACACTCCCGAAACTCTGGCACCCCAAAATCTATGTACCCCCAAACTCCAGAATCCACCCCAAATAATCCCAAATACCTGCATCCTCGACACCCCGAAACCTCAGCACCCTGTAGCCCAGGCACCCCAACACTCCGTTATCTTGTACACCTGTACTTGACACCCCAACACCCACCCAGAACCACCCAGCCGTGGAACCCCCACCCAAACCCCCCGGTTGCGCCCCACTCCCCCCCAGTGACTCCAGCCGTGGGTCCCCCTGGCCGTGCCTCAGTTTCCCCATGGCAGTGGCACATGCTTGGGGAGGGGGCTCGGTCAAATTTGGGGTGCGCCCTGAACCCTGCTGCCCCCGAATCTCTCTTGTGTCACACCCCCCCCCCCCCCCCCCCCCCCCCCCCGGCCCCCCCCCCCCCCCCGGGGGGGGGGGGGGGGGCCGGTGGGCTGGGGCCTGACAGCAACACTGAAGACACCCCAATACCGCAGCCCCCCACAGTACAAAGCACCCCAACCCCCCCCAAAGACGCCCCCCAACTTGCTCGGAACCCCCTCACTCATCCCTTCCCCCTTGGGAACCCCAACAATAACTCACATAAAACTCTCCCCCAGCCCCGAGGGGCACAGCCGAGATCCCACAGACCCCCCAGGATCCCCTCCGGGGAAGCCCACCGGGACCCCCCACCCAGAACCACCCAGCCGTGGAACCCCCACCCAAACCCCCCGGTTGCGCCCCACTCCCCCCCAGTGACTCCAGCCGTGGGTCCCCCTGGCCGTGCCTCAGTTTCCCCATGGCAGTGGCACATGCTTGGGGAGGGGGCTCGGTCAAATTTGGGGTGCGCCCTGAACCCTGCTGCCCCCGAATTTCTCTTGTGTCCCCCCCCCCCCCCCCATTCCAGCCTCCCGAGGCCTCCTCAGCGCCCTGGGGAGGGGCGGGGGGACCCTTGGGTGACCCACATCTGGGTCCTTTTGGGGGGGCGATTCGGGGAGTATCGTGTTCCCCCTGTTCCGGTGCCCTGTTCCCTGGAAGCTTCCAAGGAGGGGGGGCGGTGCGGGTGCACCCCGAGGTGACAACGGGTGACAAGGGGTGACGTGGGGGGGTGACGTGGGGGGGGTGACGCGGCGGCGCCTGCGCCAACACCTAAAAATAACCTGCCGAGTCAGAGCCACGCACCGGCACCCAAAATACCCGGGGGGGCACGCGGTGGGGGGGCACCCCAACACATCATCACCCAAAATACCCCGGGCAGGGGGGCACGCACCGGGCGGGGGCGGAACGCGACAGGGTCCCCCAGCAGAACCCCCAAACCCCCGGCAGGTGTGGGAAGGGGAGCGAGTGGATTGTGGGGGGTCGGGGTGGGCTGGGAGGTGGGGTCAGGATGTTTGGAGGGGTCCTGGGGGGTCCAGGGGGGTCTGAGCAGTCGGGGCACGGCGGGGGGGTCAGTGCAGTCCAGATGGGGGTTCAGGATGCTGCTGGGGCAGGTCGGGGGGACCCAGGGGGGTCCCAGAGCCCCCCGGGGTCTCGGTTCTGCCGCAGCCGGGGCAGAGGATGATGATGGTGGAGGCCACGATGAGGGGACAAAGGACCTGACCCCGCCAGTGTCTTCTGGGGAGGGGACACAGGGCAGAGCCCCTGCTGCCTCTGGGGACACCCTGAGCCCAGTGTCCCCCAGCCTGCCCCTGGCTCTGGGTGTCCTCGGGCACTCAGGGTGGGTGACATGGGGAGGGGGCCACCGCAGCCTGGGGACACAGAGAGGGGAACGGGGGACACTGGGGACAAGGGGGCCAGGGCTGAGGGGCACAAGGGACAGGAGAACGAGGGCCGAGTGGACACAGGGACACAGGGAACGTGGCCTTGGGGACAGCAGGGACATGTGCGAGGCCACACCCAGGAGGGCACCGGAGCAGCGACCTGGGGCCCTGGGAGTCCCGTGAGGGGCAGGAGGCAGCGCTGGGGGCCGGGGGTCCCGTGTGGAGGTGGTGCTGCCAGTACTGGTGGGTGCTCCCAGTACCAGCGGGTGCTCCCAGTACCGGTGGGTGCTGGCAGTATATCAGTGGGTGCTCCCGGTACCAGCAGGTGCTCCCGGTACTGGTGGGCGCTGGTGGGTGCTGGGGGTCCCGGCAGGGCTGGCGGTGCCGGTGCTGCAGCCCCCAGGGCTCCACGCCCAGCACCTCCTGCAGCTCAGCAGCACCCCCGAGTCCCTTCCCCACTCCACGGCTGCCACCCCAGCATCCCAGGATCCCTGGGGCTGGAAAAGCCCATCCCATCCCACCCACCCAGCCCATCCAGCCCCGGCCGTGCCTGAGCCCCCCTTGTCCCGGAGCCCTGAGAGCACCTCCAGCCCTTCTTGGGCACCCAAAGCTCTGGGGCAGCCCTGCCGAGCCTGGCTGCTGCCATCGTGCCCCGGCTGTGCCGTGGCCCCCACGCCCTGCCCGTGTCCCCCCTGCAGCCCCCGGCCCAGTGACCACAGCTCCACAGGGGACACGGCGAGCACACGGGGACCCTCTGTGGGGTGTCTGTCCCCTGGGTCACCACCCTGTGGCACACATTTGGGGGTGCCCCGCCGTGGGGATGCCCAGTACAGCACCAGCAGAGCTGACCTGGCCCAGTACAGCCCAGTACGGCCCTGCTGAGCCCAGTACAGCCTGGTCCAGTATGACCAGACCCAGTACAACCCAACAGGACACAGGACAATCCCGTGGCACAATACAGCGCAGTGCAGCCCAGTGTAGTCCAGCACAGCCCAGTACAAACCAGTACAGCCCAGCACAAACCAGTACAGCCCAGTACAAACCAGTACAGCACAGGCCAATATGGCCCAGTACAGCCCAGCACAGCCCAGTAAAACATGGGCTGGGTGCCCACCCAATACCCCTGCTCCTCCCCTGGCCCCATCCCTGGCCCGTCCCTGAGCCCCCCTGGCCCCATCTCTGCCCCAGAGCTGGACAGAGCGCCAGGGTGCCCCAGGGCACCCCAGGGTGGGCACCCCACACACACTCCCCAGGGCCACAGTGTCCCCTGGACATGTCCCTCTCCCCCTGACTGAGCTCCCCCTTCCCTGGGGGTCCCCAGTGCCACAGTGCAGATCCTGCACCGGCCTTTATAGGCACCCCCAGCCCGGGGGGGCCCTGTAATCCCCCCCTAAGCAGCTTCTGCTCATCCTTCCTGTTCCCCGGGGGTGCCACAGGCCGGGGGAGGGAGGGGAAGGGGGGAGGGAGGGCAGGAAACGCTGGGAGTCTTTTGGGACTTGAGTGCCAGCAGCGCATCCCCAAAGTGAGCCGCCATCAATGACCCCCCAGCACTGCACCCCCAAAATGAGCACCCCCTCTCAGACACCCCACCTCCAGCAGTGCCCCCCAGTCTTCCCCCCCACCCCTTGATACCCCCAGAATCCCCCCACCTCACTGGGGGTCTCCCCAGCACAGGAATCCCCCAAGCCCAGAACTGGGAACAATCGCTTGAGGGGGGGGACACTTGGGAGGCACCCTGGGGTGCTGGGGGGGGACAGGGAGTGAGCTCATGAGGGAAACTCCGAGTTCTTCCCAAGGCATCCAGGGCTGGGCCATCCTGGGGGCGTGGGATCAAGGCAGGAGACACCTGGGGACCCCTGGGGACACCTGGCCATTCTGGGGGTGACCAGGACAGAGCTTGGGGACCCCCGGGGCACACTGAGGACCCCAGTGGGATCAGGACTAAGGTTGGGGACCTCTGGCCGTTGTGGTGGGACCAAGACTTGGGCTTGGGAACACCTGGGGACACCTGAACACCCCAGGAGGAACAGGATCAAGCTTGGAGACCCCTGGGGACCCTCCCCATACCCAGATGTTGGGGGGAGCCCTTCTGCCCCCCCCAAATCCTCCAGAGCACCGGCAATCGGCTCGACCCGGCTCAGGGGGCCGATTAGGGGCTGAGCCCGGTTTAGCCCACCCTAATCCCCAAGTTTGGCCGGGCTGAGCCCTGATCCCCCCTAAGCAGCTTTGGGGGCGCAGGGTATATCAGGGGGGTGGGCGGCCCCCCCCGCCACCGCCGCCATGGACGAGGAAGAGTTCTACCTGTTCAAGAACCAGTCGTCGGTGGGGCCCTGGGATGGGCCCCAGTACCACATCGCGCCCATGTGGGCCTTCTACCTGCAGACCATCTTCATGGGCCTGGTGTTCGTGGCGGGCACCCCCCTGAACGCCATCGTCCTCATCGTCACCATCAAGTACAAGAAGCTGCGGCAGCCGCTCAACTACATCCTGGTGAACATCTCCGTCAGCGGCCTCATGTGCTGCGTCTTCTGCATCTTCACCGTCTTCGTGGCCAGCTCCCAGGGATACTTTGTCTTCGGGAAGCACATGTGTGCCTTTGAGGGCTTTGCGGGGGCCACCGGAGGTACGAGGGGACCATGGGGCGCTCAGGCTGCTGCGGCCAGACACGATGGAGTGACCGCTGGGGGCTGCTGGGGCCAGAGGTGGCCACAGTGATCTCCTGGGGCTGTGGGAGTGGGGGTGACCACCATGGGCTCAAGGTATTGTTGACCACCACATTCTGCTAAGGATTTGGGAGTTGGGGTGACCACCACGGGCTGCGGGGGGGCAGGCATTGGGGTGACCTTCTGGACCTTTAGGAGTTGACCACTGTAGTCTGGTGGGACTATAGGAGTTGGGGTGACCACTGGGGTCTGGTGGAGCTGGAAGTGGGGGTGACCATCCTGTTCTTCTGGGGCTGGGGAAGTTGGGGTGATCATTGGGGTCTGGTGGGGCTGAAGGTGGCAAAATGGGTAAAGGCCATGGGTAGGGTTGAGCCCTGTGATCTGTGGTGGCTGGAGGAGCCGGGGTGACCACCGAGGCCTGAAGGGAGGGGTGATCACTACATTCTACCAGGGTCATAGGACTTGGGGTGACAGGGGTGACCGGGGGGCTTTGGGAATTGCAGTGACCCCCAGCCCTGGTGGCCATGGGCGGTTGTGTGAGGCCAGTGGTGACCTTGTTCCGCCAGGGCTGGTGACAGGGTGGTCCTTGGCCTTCCTGGCCTTCGAGCGCTACATCGTCATCTGCAAACCCTTCGGCAACTTCCGCTTCAACTCCCGCCACGCGCTGCTGGTGGTGGCGGCCACCTGGATCATCGGCGTCGGCGTCGCCATCCCGCCCTTCTTCGGCTGGAGCAGGTGGGACACAGAGGGTGTGGGGGACAGGGGGTGGAACCGGGTGGCAAGTGGAGGGTCCTGGGGGTGCCAGGTGAGTGCTTGAGGCACCACAAGTGCCACGGGGTGCTGTGGGGGCACTGGGAGGTGCCCCACGGTGCAGAGTGGGGGCTGAGCACAGGTCTGCAGGTACATCCCCGAGGGGCTGCAGTGCTCCTGCGGCCCTGACTGGTACACGGTGGGCACCAAGTACAAGAGCGAGTACTACACCTGGTTCCTCTTCATCTTCTGCTTCATCGTCCCCCTCTCCCTCATCATCTTCTCCTACTCCCAGCTGCTCAGCGCCCTGCGGGCCGTGAGTCCCGGGGGCATGGGGGGCACAGGGGGCACGGGGGGCATTGGGGTCAGGCACACCTGTGGCTGAGAGTGAGGGACGGAGAGTGGAGAGGGGCTGGGGGGCAGGAGGGAGGGAGGGAGAGAACAGGGATGGAGAAGTGACTGTGAGCAGGGAGGGAGGGCAGGATGGGGAGCAGGAAGGAGGGAGAGGTGACTGGAGGGATGAAGGGATGCAGGAAGGGAGGGGAGGTTACTTGGACAGAAGGTTGGGCAGGAGCATGGGCAGGGGTCGGGGGGCAGCACAGGGCATGGGCAGGGGTCGGGAGCCTGGGCAGGGGTCAGGAGCCCGGGCAGGCCCGAGGTGTCCCTGTCCCCGTGGCAGGTGGCGGCGCAGCAGCAGGAGTCAGCCACGACGCAGAAGGCGGAGCGGGAGGTGTCGCGCATGGTGGTGGTCATGGTGGGCTCCTTCTGCATGTGCTACGTGCCCTACGCGGCGCTGGCCATGTACATGGTGAACAACCGCGAGCACGGCATCGACCTGCGCCTCGTCACCATCCCTGCCTTCTTCTCCAAGAGCTCCTGCGTCTACAACCCCATCATCTACTGCTTCATGAACAAACAGGTGACACCGGCGACAGCGGGACACCCGCAGAGACACGGGGAGGGGGACGCCCAGGGACACCTGGGGATGGGGGCAGCCAGGGCTGCCCGAGGATGTCTGAGGACCTGGGACACTCAGGGAGACCCGAGCATGGGGAACACCCAGGGATACCCGTGTGAGGGGACACCTCAGGACACTCGGATAAGGGGATGACGTTGGCAAGGGGGACACAGAGAAGATGGGGACACCCCAGGACATTGGGGCAGCGGGGACACGCAGGGGTGCCCAAGGACATTGGGGGACCAGGGACACCTGGGGATGGCGTATCCAGGAGCACTTGCACGGCTGGGGGTACCGTGACCCCAGGGACAGATGGGGCCAGTGTGGCATCTGAGGGTGTGAGCACAGTGCCAGGGCTGGACACAGGACCCCCAGGCTGAGCTGTCCCCTCTCCTGTGACCCCGTGTCACCTGTGTCCCCGCAGTTCCGCGCCTGCATCATGGAGACGGTGTGCGGGCGGCCCATGTCAGACGACTCCGAGGTGTCCAGCTCGGCCCAGCGCACCGAGGTCTCCTCGGTGTCCTCCAGCCAGGTCGGCCCCAGCTGAGGGGCTCCGGCACCGCCCCAGCCCCGGGACCCCCGGCTGCCCCCCAGCTATCCCCCAGCCGCCCCTGCCGTGGGGCTGGCTCTGCCCTGGGGGCCGGGGGCCCCGGCCAGCCTAGGATGTAGCGCGGGTGGGACAATAAACCACGGCCGCGGTCTGAGCGCAACGGGACCCGCTGAGCACCTGGCACCTGTGGGACAGGGCACCCACGGCGTGGGCGTCTAGGGGCAGCCGTGCCCCACAGCAGGGTGGGAATGGGGGAGCCGGGGGCCGGCTGGCCGGCTGTGCCGCACAGTGGGATGGGATGGGATGGGATGGGATGGGATGGGATGGGATGGGATGGGATGGGATGGGGGCCTTGGTGGAGGCTGTGCCCCATGGCTGGGTGGGATGGGGTCCCAGGAGTGGCTGTGCCCCACTGCAGGGTGGGTGAGGTCCTGTTAGCAGCTGTACCCCACGGCAGGGAGAGAGGGTGGGTCCCAGGGGAGACTGTGCCCCAGCGTGGGGCAGGACGGGTCCCAGAGGTGGCTGTGCTCCACGGTGGTGCCATGGTGGGACCCTGCTCCCTCGTCCCCCTTTAGGCCTCACACGCAGGGAGGGCAGGGAGGTGGGATGGTGCCACTCACCTCCATCTGTGGGGCTGGGGTGGGACCTAAGGGACCCCATCCGTGGGGCTGAGCTCCCCATCCATGGGGCTAGGCCCCCCCATCTGTGGGGTAGGGGTGGGACTGAGCCCCCCCATCCATGGGGCTGGATTCCCTGTGGGGCTGAGCCCCCCAGGCCCCAGGGGCAGAAGTCCCACAGGCCGCGTGTGTCCCCACAATCCCACCCAGTTCCCCCCCTCCCCTCCTCAGGGCCCCCCGCCCCCCGAACCCTTCTGGCTCAGTCCAAGGGGGCTCTCCCAGATCCTGGTTCAGGGGAAAACAGGGAACTGGGGTTTGTCCCCCTCGGCCCATCGGGGGGTGAACAGTTTTATTGAGTTCCAACCAATCCGGATCCCTTCAATCAGCCCGAGGAGAAAACCAAGGAATAAACCCGGAGGAGGCGAAAAATCCATGTCTGGAGTTGTCACAGGGCCCCAGATCCTCACGGATGGGAGCCAGGGGATGTTAGGAGAGGGGCTGCAGGGCTGCGTGGCTGCGCCAGAGGCTTTCCCAGCGTTCCAAAATCACTTCTCCTGTCCCAAATCATCCCTGGTGTTCCAAACCAACCCTGACATTCCCGGATCACCCCCAGCATTCCCAAATTCCCAAGCCTTGCATAGGGCCATATTCCCATCCCACTTACCACTGGATTTAGGGAGGGGAGGAAAAGGAGGAGTGGAAAGGGGAGGAGGAGATGGGAGGATCCGGTCAGCCCTTGGAAACCTTTGGGAAAGGATTTAAAGGAAAACGTGGGAATTTGGAGACGGCCGGGCCCGATTCCACACAGCTCTGGTGGCTGCAGGGGGACAAACAACACAGAAGAGAGAAAACCTGGGAACTGTCCCAGAGCGGGGTGGGATGAGGCCCTCCCCCAGAGGTTTGGGGGATTCAAGGCACTTGGAGCGGGGCTGGGGGGAAGGGTCTTGCCCAGATCCCTCGGAGCAGCCACAGGGGAGGAGGGTCCAACCTCCCTGGGGTCACCTCTGGGTCACCCCCTGGGTCCTGCTGCTGCTCTGACGGTTTTGGGGGTTTTCAATGTTCACTTTTCATTCCAATTTCACATCAGTGTTTCAGTTTAATTCAATTTCACTTATTTGGTTCCAATTCCATTTCAATTTTCAACTTTGATTTCAATGTTTAATTCCAATTCCATTTTTAATTCAAATTTCAGTCCAATTCAAATTCCAATTTTAATTTCAACTTTAATTCCAATTCCAATTCCAATTTTTATTCCAACTGCAATTCCAATCCCAATCCCTCTGTGAACTTCCCACTCCCCCCCAGGCCCCCTGGCCCCGCAGCCCCGGGCAGCCCCGTCGCTGCCCCCGCGCCAGGGGAGCTGTTCCCACACGTGGTAAAACCAAAACATACAAAAATAACCCAAAAGTCGTTAAAATCCGGGGAAAACCCACAACGAGACGAGCCCCAGGTGCCGGGGGAGTGTGGCTTTCCCGACCCCGTCCCCGGGAGCCGGGGTTTCTGGGCGGCGGAGCGGCCTCGGCGAGGGACGGGGCCCACAGGCGGGTGCCGGCCTCGGGCCTAGAACTCGTCGTGCCGCACCAGCGCCTCCCCGAAGTCCGTGGCCTGGCTGCCCACGAACAGGTCTGACTTGTCCACGATCTCCTCCCGCGTCAGCTTCCCGTCCTGCAGGGAACGCCACAGCCCGCTATTGCTCCATCCCGCTATGTCCCCCGCCTCCACCCGCTCCCCACACCCCCGGAGCTGCTGGCCCACCTTGTCCTGGTCGGACTCATAGACGAGGTGCCGCGCCTCTGCCTCGGCGTGGTCGTAGTCCGAGGGCAGGATCCAATCCTTGGTCTCCTCCTTGTCCATCTTCCCATCCCGGTTCTTGTCGCGGAACTCCACGAACTGCTCCCGCTCCGTCTTCACCCACTCAGGCTCATCAGCATCACCGTCCTGGCTGTACATGTCACCTGCGGGGGCAGCAGGATCAGGATCGGCCCCACGGCCCTGTCCCCACCCCAAGGATCGACCCAAAGCCTTGAGTTCCCTCAATCCATCCCCAAAACCCCAGAGCACCACCTGGGTCACGATTTCACCCGAAAATCCTTGGTGGAGGCCTAGGGGCAGGTGGCAGTTGAGAGAGAGAACATTCTGTGAGGGGGAGGACTGGGAAGGACACAGTGGCAGTGGCTCCCACAGGACAGGGACACTGAGGGGACATGGACAGGACATGGAGCAGCAGCAGCACCAGTGTCTCACCAATGTACTCCTCCAGGTCAATGAAACCATCGCCGTTCTTGTCAATGTCCTCCATGGTTTCCTGCAAGAAGATGCCAGCGTGAGCCAGGCCCGAGGCAATTCCTGCCCCTCAGTGACCACCCGCCTCCAGAGCTTCCTAAAGTGCCTCTGTGCTGGCCCCACCTGCACAACGATGTCCTTCATGTAGTCGTACTCCTCGGGGTGCAGGAAGGCCGTGAACTCCTCCTTGGTGGCGGCCAGGTCCCCGTCCTTGTCGGCCATCTTGAAGCGCCGCTCGTCCCGCACCATCATCTGCTTGTAGTTGAAGCCATCGTCGGGGTCCGGGTCGTCTGGGAGGGAGCACAGGAGCACCCGGGTCAGCTCGGGCAGGGCGAGGACCCATAACCACCAACGCAGCCTGACCCAACTCAACAGTCTCAGCTCAACCTCAGCTCAAGCTCTCCCTCCTCTACTGAACCTCAGCTTCCTCTCAACCTCAACCTCAAGACAACTTCGATCTCCCCAACCCAACCTCAACCGTCACCCCAACCCAACCTCAGCCTCCTGAACATAACCTTCTCAGCCTCAACTTCCTCAAAGCAACCTCAACATCCTCCACCCAGCCTCAAACTCAACTTCCTCCCTCTCAGCACGACCTTCTGATGCTTTGCCAGCAAAAGCTCAATTGCAGCCACCACTTCTCTCCCGTGCCCACTCCCAGGAGGAGGAGGAGCTGCGGAAGCCCTGGGATCATGACATTCCCAGGGAGAGGCCCCAAAAGACAGGGCTTGGGGGCTTTGGCCGGCACGGCCAGAGGCTCAACGTGAACTATTTTGGGAGGGGAATGTGTAAGGGGATCTCACTGGCTGCTGGCAGTGGCAGGGCAGGAGGCATGGGCCGGGTGGGACCGCGGGGCACGCGTGGCCGCTTGGCACAGCCCCGCAGCAGTTCCGGACACAGCAGTGTCCAGCAGCCCGTGGAGAACAAGGATCCTGGGGGACACTGCCACGCTCTGCTTATGTTAAACCAGAGCCAGGCCCCATCTAATAACAAGGTCCAAAAGCCCCTGTGTCCCTGCTCTGTTAGCTGGGACAAAAGGCAGGCATTGGGGAGCCCTGGATTAAGGGGCTCGGGATTAAGGAGCTCTGGAGCATCCATTAAATATCCAAAGACTTTGACTTTAAGGCAGCTCTAGGGCAGAATGAACCCTAAATTCCCCATTCTGTTCCCAAGGTTTTGCCTTGAGAGGAGCATAGCCCCGAACAAGGAAACCTGCAGGACCAGTGCCATTAACAGATGATTCTTAATTGCTGTTGGGCTAATTAATGGGTTTGATGGGGGATAGTGGGGGGGGACAGATGGGTTAAAAAGGGTTAAACCCTCCCAAACCCCCACAAGTTACTTCTTGCCTTGGTCCCTGGGCCGGGAGAGGCTTGGGGGAGCAGACGGAGGGGAAGCAGACAGAGCTGGAGGTTTTGCTCAGAGTATGGCAGCAAACCCACAAACTCAACCCAACATCTTGTGTCCTGGTTTTGGACCCCACCATGGGATTGAGGAATTAACAAAAACAGGAGTGGTGGTGATGATGATGATGATAATCTGATTTTGAAGGGAGTTTCAAAGGAATTTCCAGTCTCAGATGAAGCTCCTGGACGTTTATCACTTGATATTCCCTGCTTCCCAGGACTCCCCCCAGCAGAACCCCACACTGCTCTGTGACACTGCTGGGGGCCACCCAGTGACTCATCATCGTGTGTAATTAATTAATTAATAAAACCACTCCCAGCATCTCGTTTTGCTGACAAAACACCACATTCTGGACCCTCCAGAGCAGCCGAGGGCAATGCCTGGTCCCACGCATCCCTTGGCCACGGGTCAACACTCAGGAGGCACTTCCAGAGGCATTCCAGCCCCACTGTGGCCAGGGAGGGCAGCGAGGAGAAGACAGGGGAACATTTTAGCAGCAGGGAGCTGTGGAAAAGCAATTCCTGCCGAGAGGAGCCGGAGCCAGAGCGTGAGGCAGGATCCTCCCGGCGCTCCGTAAGGACACAAGTATGTGGGAGCAGCACGAGTGGAGGCTCCACCAGGCCTGCCAAGGGCAGCAGCCTCCAGCACTGCTCCAGCTCTGGAACCAGCCCTGCTGGGGGCTGGGCACGCCCCACACACCGCCAGACTGCAGGAGGGAACTGCTCCTTCAGCTCATTGAGGGGTTCTGTTAACTCAGGGTTCTCTCATTAAGGCTTTTCCTGGTTAATGTTCACACTTCTCCCTATCCGACACCTGCAGGTCCGAAATGCCACCCCAGACCC